TGTTTCTCCAGTTAATTCTGAGATCTTGATTTATTCACTTAGCACCCCTTGACTTCAGTTTCCTCACCGCTATGACAAAGCGGCCCTTAAGCTTCTACTGTCTCTACATGCCTAAGGTTCTGTTACTTTATCATCCAGTTAAGACCCCTTATGATTCCTAATCTCTGCTGACATTTCTTTATCTAGAATAGTGCTGTAGTAAATATATACCAGTATTTGGAGATCATTTTAAAAATATTTGATGCTTGGCCTTCACTCCAGACCAGTTAAATCTGGGGGTGGAGTCCACAAACACATTTTCAACTTTGTTTCCAGTTAATTCAAATCTGTAGCCAGAATCAAGAACTCCTAGTCTTAATTTTAACATCCTGATTTTATCTTTGTCGTCTCCATTGGTCAATACTACAAATAATCATGTAGAAAGAAAAGGGACACATGTTCTAGGATCCCTGTTTACAGAAGCGGGGAGCCAGGCATCTGATAGGAGGAAAGCAGGCAGTAATAGAGGAGAGGTCATGACTTTGAAAAATATTATGAAGGAACCGTTATTTTCTAGGTGCAACCTCCTTCAAAGATTTGGGTGGTGGAGTTCCAGGATAACCAAGAAAAGGAGTGGTTGATCTCCATTTTGACTTTTTCTCTTTTTGAAATAAAGAAAATTCTATTTATAATAGCATCAAAAAGAATAAAATTATCAGGATCGAATTTAGCAATGTAAATATAAGGTTTGTACACTGAAAAATATAAATATTATTGAAAGAAAGAAGACACCCCAGTTTCCCAAGACATCCCTGGGTTGGAAGATGTAACATTATTTAAATGACAATACTCCCTAAGTTGATCTGCAGATTCAGTGCAATCTCTATCAGAATTCCAGCTGGGTTTTTGTAGAAACTAAAGAGCTGATGCTAAAATTTGTTCAAAAATTCAAGGTTCCCAGAACAGCATAAATAATCTCAAAAAAGAACAAAATCTGAGGACTCACATGTCCCAATTTCAAGACTGCTACAAATTATAGTAATCAGGATAGTAAGGTTAGACAGTAGATCAGTGTAACAGAATTAAGAATCCAGAAATAAATCCTTCCATTTATAGCACTTTAACTTGTTCCAGTGTTTCCCCCATGAAAACATAACCTCCAGCTTCATAAGGCTCAGTGGTGGGTATGGATTATACTCTGTGGATATGCTTTGGGGTCATTGTGGAATGGAGCTCTTCCACAAACAAGGGCACTCACACATCTGTTATAATTCAGGTCTGTGTCCCATCCCTCGTGGCCTCTCCTTTCATAAATTCCACTTCCTTGGAAAGCCACCTTGCAGTGATCGAATTGGAATCTACCATTCAGTGGTTTTTTATTTCTTGGCTTTGAAACATTTACCCTTCTTCCAATGGAAAAGAAATAGATTTAAGCAATATGTACTTGTATCTGAGACCAACATGAAATTCTACAACTATATTTGATGACAACAACGAAGGGTGAGTTAGGAAGAGTTAGGTTTGGGGTAAGGGGCAGAGCAGTACAGTAGAGACACTGATTTATGTGTCCCTTAGTGTGGAAATTATTTTTTTAGTATTTTACTTACTTGGCTGCATCAGGTCTTAGTTGTAGCATGGGGGATCTTCACTGAGGCATACTGGATCTTTTCACTGTGGCTCGAAGGCTTTTCTCTAGTTGCAACATGCAGGTTTAGTTGCCCTGCAGCATGTGGGATCTTAGATCCCAAACCAGGGATTGAACTTGCATCCCCTGGATTGAAAGGTGGATTCTTTTTTTTTTTTTTGAAGGAGTATTTTTTTTTTCATTTATTTTTATTAGTTGGAGGCTAATTACTTTACATCATTGCAGTGGTTTTTGTCATACATTGAAATGAATTAGCCATGGATTTACATGTATTCCCCATCCCGGTCCCCCCTCACACCTCCCTCTCCACCCGATCCCTCTGGGTCTTCCCAGTGCACCAGGCCCGAGCACTTGTCTCATGCACCCAACCTGGGCTGGTGATCTGTTTCACCCTAGATAATATACATGTTTCGATGCTGTTCTCTTGAAACATCCCACCCTCGCCTTCTCCCAGAGTCCACAAGTCTATTCTATACATCTGAGTCTCTTTTTCTGTTTTGCATATAGGGTTATCGTTACCATCTTTCTAAATTCCATATATATGTGTTAGTATACTGTAATGGTCTTTATCTTTCTGGCTTACTTCGCTCTGTATAATGGGCTCCAGTTTCATCCATCTCATTAGAACTGATTCAAATGAATTCTTTTTAATGGCTGAGTAATATTCCATGGTGTATATGTACCACAGCTTCCTCATCCATTGGTCTGCTGATGGGCATCTAGGTTGCTTCCATGTCCTGGCTATTATAAACAGTGCTGCGATGAACATTGGGGTGCACGTGTCTCTTTCAGATCCGGTTTCCTCGGTGTGTATGCCCAGAAGTGGGATTGCTGGGTCATATGGCAGTTCTATTTCCAGCTTTTTAAGAAATCTCCACACTGTTTTCCATAGTGGCTGTACTAATTTGCATTCCCACCAACAGTGTAAGAGGGTTCCCTTTTCTCCACACCCTCTCCAGCATTTATTGCTTGTAGACTTTTGGATAGCAGCCATCCTGACTGGCGTATAATGGTACCTCATTGTGGTTTTGATTTGCATTTCTCTGATAATGAGTGATGTTGAGCATCTTTTCATGTGTTTTTTTTGCCATCTGTATGTCTTCCTTGGAGAAATGTCTGTTTAGTTCTTTGGCCCATTTTTTGATTGGGTCATTTATTTTTCTGGAGTTGAGCTGGAGGAGTTGCTTGTATATTTTTGAGATTAATCCTTTGTCTGTTGCTTCCTTTGCTATTATTTTCTGGAAGGAGTATTCTTAACCGCTGGACCACCAGGGAAGTCCCCAGCATGGAAATTATACCCTGCCGCTAAGTGATTTGTTCATGCCAACTTCTTTTTAGCTTTTCAACGTTGTCCATTCCCAGAACTGTGCAATGGGACAAGGTCAAATCTAAGGTTCCTTTTAGCATCAGGTGCCATAGTTTTAAGCTTATGTGTCACCAGCTGCACTTTCTTCAGCTAACAAATGGATCATCTGTCTAATTTTCCTCTTTGAGTGAGAGAAATTCGCTCAAGTCGTGTCCAGCTCTTTGCAACCCCATGGACTGTAGTTCTCCAGGCTCCTCTGTCCATGGAATCTTCTAGGCAAGAATGCTGGAATGGGTTGCCATTCCCTTCTCCAGAGGATCTTCCCGACCCAAGGATTGAACCTGGGTCTCCTTCATTGCAGGAAGATTCTTTATCATCTGAGTCACTGGGGAAGCCCCAGTTTTCCTCTCTAAGTGATACTGAAGTTTCTAAGACTTTTATTAGATGTGATCATATGTAAGGCAGAGAGCCCAGGGGCCGTCTCCTCCATAGCAGGCATTAGACCAAACGATGAATAAGCCTCAGCTGTATCACTACAGCCTGTTTGATTCTTCACTTTACTTTTATATAAACTTTTATATCTATGGGAGAATGTTTTTTTAATGTGTCCTGTTGTGTGAAATGATAGTTATTATTTTTAACATTTCTAGGACAGTTCCCTTGAACCCTCAGCCTAATGTTTTCCATTCATCAGCAAAACTCTTTCTATAGCTAGAAATAATGAATATTGGAAAAGGGAGACAACTCCATAATTGACATATTTATATTAACAGTGTGTATGCTTCAGTATCTTGAGAAGTTAATATATTTTTGCCTAAAGTAATTACAGTTTTTCTAGAAGTATATGAATAGCTTTTAGTGAGCCATAGATCTTCTACCCCATCAGATATGCACAATGGTTTTTAAAAATTAGGAAGCTAATTCTCTTTGATAGCTTCTGAATAAATGTTCACTCTCAAAGGCTTTAACATTAGATATAAATTGACACTTGAATATCAAATAGGCTTTAAGAATCTCTCTTCTAGCTTCACTAGCATCATTTTGCCAGATGCCAGATAAACACAGGTGTATAAAAGATTCATATTGTGATGCAATATTCCTGATAGAGAGGTTCGCAGACACAGTGAAATCTTGATTTGTGGTGACATAAAGGCATCGTGTTTCCACTGTTCCTTGTCAAGCTCCCGCAGAGGCACCATGGCAGCCAGATTGCTGGGGGCACTGGTTCAACTGCATCTACAGAGAGTGCAGAGAAGTTACTGCTAACAAAGATGCGAACCGTCTCAGCAAAGAGGGGCAAGTGCCCTCTGCTTTCTTCCTGGCAGGAAAGCTCTAAAACAAGAAGACTGACTAATGAGACAACTTGGCTCCAAGCAGCATGAGACACTGAGTCAGATCACAGCAAGAAAAATCCAGACATGATTTATATTGAACTGACGTACTCTTCACATTCTTTGTGGGGGGAGGCACACTTATGTGCTAGAATGTTTTATCTGTGTCACCAAACTCAGTGGATAGCATCCAGGGGTGGGGCTCCAGGTGCAGCTTGGGTCAGCTCTTCCTTCTTGCTTAAAACAATCGCACTATATTTCTCTTGATTCAGTTTTTTTTTTTTTCCAGAGGAGTTTGTTTGCTATGATATAAAAGATTCAGACATTCATTCAACAAATATTTACATTCATGTTTGAGGCTCTGTATCAGAGACTGGGCTTTCTTGAGCCTGTATGCTAAGGGAGAGACAGAATTAATAAGCAAATAAGTAAAAGATGTGATGTGCCAGGTTGTGGTAAATGCAGTGAAGTTAAATAAAGCAGAGCTCAGATAGGGCTTGTGGTGTAACAAGAGGTATGATCAGGGAAGCAAAGGAGGTAAGGAGCAAGTCATGTGCCAGTCTGGGGAAAAGTGATGGGGGAGAGGGGTGGTTAGAGGGTTGAGGAGAGAGCAGAGTGTGGAATACACATAAGGGAAATGAGTAAGCCAGTGGGTGAGGGAGTTGCAGAATTGACTGGCAGTTGAAGGATTACAGGTTTGGGGGGAAATAAGCAACATGGTGATATATGTGTTTTCCAGCCACATTCAGCTGCTTGTGAATTCAGCCAGGGTGGAATCTGCCAGGTGGACAAGGTGGAGGAAGGAGCCACAGAGTTGAAGCTACAAGGTATGCGTGGGGCAAAGTGAGAACACCGCGGGAGCGTGGGGGGGTGCCATATATGAAAAGGTGGTAAGAATAATGGATTGATGATCCACATCGGTCAAATATTGCTAAAAACATGGAGCTAGTAGCTCATTATGACATGAAACTATTGTCTCTTTTGATGAAAGATAAGCACATTCATCACTGAAATCTGATTTCACTTTGAATCTATTTAATTAAGTTTTCAACCATTAAAGTTCGTTAAATGATGCAAAAAGGACTACAGCTTTGAACATTAGTATGCATTCTTTCACTTACAATTATGAAATGAATATATTAATGCATAATCTAAAAACAATTAGTGATTGCTAGAATAAATCTCAGTAATCTGCCTCTTGTAAAGTAATAAATTGCCAAAGACAGAATTTAACTATCATGAGAACTTTTAAAATATTTATGCTTCCTTGTAACCCCAATGGTTTGGGAAAATGATGGCAACATAAATCTCTCATCCTATTTTGCAAATCATTTTAGTTTGTCTAAATTGCTGGAAAGGGATTTACTGTGGTTAAGAAACACTTTTCAAAAATCTAATTGATGAAAGTACATTATATAAGATTGATGCTAGAGCTATAGAATGCTTGACTTTGATAAGATTATGTCCATTACACTTCAGAATTGATCTGTATGAATGCAAGTTTAGCCACCCTACAGTCTAATCCAGTGATCTTTCCCTCCACTGACTGTAGAGGGCATCTGGGATACCTTGCCCAGTGCCCACGTCTGTGGATGAGAAGTATCATTTTCCTCTGGCATGAGGACCTGGCCTAGTGGGCTCACGTGCAGCTGTCTCCTCTCACTCAGCCTTGCAGCCAGGTCACTTCCCACCATTTCTGTTTTGACAGCCCAGCCTTCTGTTCTGATGTCTGATTCACTAACATGAATGCCTGTCCAATTCACTAACTAAGATACAATCACATACCAGATGTGATGGGCAACATAAACTTGTACGGTTTATACAAGTTGTGTGTGTGCATGTGCTCAGTCGTGTCCAACTCTTTGTGACCCCATGGACTATAGCCTGCCAGGCTCCTCTGTCCATGGGATTCTCCAGGTAAGAATACTGGAGCAGTTGCCACTTCCTTCTCCAGGGGATCTTCCTGACCCAGGGATCAAACTCGAGTCTCTTGCATCTCCTGCACTGGCAGACAGGTGCTTTACCAGCTGAGCCAACAGGGAATCCTGTTATTTGGGATAAAATACAGACTCCACTTCTGCAAAATGGAACACCTCTTTCTGTTCTCTTAAAGTCTTATTACTTTCACCAGCTTCAAAGTCAGACACAAATTTCAAATACATTTAAAACCCACCAAAGCACATACCAAAAATCCCAGTGTTGAGGTTTACCAAATTCCTGGTTAGGATGAAATGACTCAATATTGGCTTCTATTTCTCAATTTGGGAAACTTGTGGTCTCAGTCTTTCCTCACACGCAGTCTCTTGGTCCTTACCAGTGACAGGCATTCAAGGTCAGATTCAGAGTATTCATTGTTGTTCTCACAGTTCTCAAGTCTAGATCCACCAGCCATTGTCTCACCTTTATATGAGTCTGGAGCCTGAGTGAACCTAGTAAGGTGGCTCTGCGCTACATGCTAAGTCGCTTTAGTTGTGTCTGACTCTGTGCAACCCTATGGACTGTATATAGCCCACCAGGCTCCTCTGTCCATGGGATTCTCCAGGCAAGAATACTGGAGTGGGTTGCCATGCCTGGCTCCAGGGAATCTTCCCACAGGGATCAAACCCACATCTCATATGTCTCCTGCATTGGCAGGTGGGTTTTTTTTAACCACTAGTTCCACCTGAGAAGCCCAAGGTGGCTCTGAGTTCACCTATAAATCCAGTCCTGTACTTGAACTTCTACCTTGAACGACTGTCAGATCTTTGACAAAAGTAGTATGTTATCTGCACACAGCATATAATACTATATTAGTTGGATGTCTAGAGCTTTTCTATTTGAATTACCTTAGAAGAAAACCATAGCAAGTCCTCTATTTTCACATATAATGTGTTCCTGAAGATGTCAAATGTGGGAAAATTGAAAAATAGACTTATACATTAAAAGGAATTTCTATTATAGAGATTTTAAAAAATTAAGTCCATAATTATATTTTTCCTATAATCTTCAATGATATAGTTTTACTATTCAGGACGTATCCTTAAATTCTTTCTTCATAATTAAGCATGCATTTTCTTAGTTTTAATAAGCATTCAGTTGAGGCTAGAGATTTGTTATCTTGTTAAAGAGTCTATATTCCTCATCAGTAGTATCAGAGCTTTCATTCTGTCTTCCCTTCATTCCTATAAGATAATCAGGATAAAATGTAATATCATGTTCACATTCTCAAACTTCACTGGGGACTTGCCTGCTGGCCCAGTGGTTTAGACTCTGAGCTTCCACTGCAGGGAGCACAGATTTGATCCCTGGTTGGAGAACTTAGGTCCTAAATGCTGGGCAGCTTGGCCAAAAAGTAAAAAAAAAAAAAAATCAAGTAAACGTCACTAAACAGATGTAGATAGCAATATCTCAAACCTGAGCCATTGTACAGCAGAGATTGCCATTAGGCGATGTTTCAGAGCACCTGACCTGCCTCTTGAGGAACCTGTATGCAGGTCAGGAAGCAACAGTTAGAACTGGACATGGAACAACAGACTGGTTCCAAAAAGGAAAAGAAGTACGTCAAGGCTGTATATTGTCACCCTGCTTATTTAACTTATATGCAGAGTACATCATGAGAAACTCTGGGCTGGAAGAAGCACAAGCTGGAATCAGGATTGCTGGGAGAAATATCAATAACCTCAGATATGCAGATGACACCACCCTTATGGCAGAAAGTGAAGAGGAACTAAAAAGCCTCTTGATGAAAGTGAAAGAGGAGAGTGAAAAAGCTGGATTAAAGCTCAACATTCAGAAAACTAAGATCATGGCATCTGGTGCCATCACCTCATGGGAAATAGATGGGGAGACAGTGTAAACAGTGTCAGACTTTATTTTTTTGGGCTCCAGAATCATTGCAGATGGTGATTGCAGCCATGCAACTAAAAGACACTTACTCCTTGGAAGGAAAGTTATGACCAATCTAAATAGCATATTAAAAAGCAGAGACATTACTTTGCCAACAAAGGTCCATCTAGTCAAGGCTGTGGTTTTTCCAGTGGTCATGTATGGATGTGAGAGTTGGACTGTGAAGAAAGCTGAGCACCAAAAAATTGATGCTTTTGAACTGTGGTGTTGGAGAAGACTCTTGAGAGTCCCTTGGGCTGCAAGGAGATCCAACCAGTCCATCCTAAAGGAGATCAGTCCTGGGTGTTCATTGGATGAACTGATGTTGAAACTGAAACTCCAATACTTTGGCCACCTCATGCGAAGAGTTAACTCATTGGAAAAGACCCTGATGCTGGGAGGGATTGGGGGCAGGAGGAGAAGGGGACGACAGAGGATGAGATGGCTGGATGGCATCATCTACTTGATGAACTTGAGTTTGAGTAAACTCCGGGAGTTGGTGATGGACAGGGAGGCCTGGGGTGCCAAGATTCATGGGGTCGCAAAGAGTTGGACATGACTGAGCGACTGAACTGAACTGAACTGAATGTTTCAGGAGGCTTATCTATCCATTGATATCAAAGTGTGGCTGTTCAGATGACCTATGATATGTAATCCATGGTTCCATGGAAACCAGACATATCACTGCCAAAGAGGAACTACTTACTACTTTCCCAAAGCAGATGCCATGAAGGAGGAAGAAGAAAGCATTGAAGGGGAACTAGGACACATTGGCTGATGGGGGTGGAGAAAGAGGGTGCAGGGTGCCCCAAATTCACCTGCGTGTCCATTGAATGGTGGTTAGGAAGCATCATTCAACACTCCCTTGCATTTGATATATGTTTTGTTTTGTTTTGCATAGAATAGCATCTGGGAATAATTTATTCTCATCTTATTCGTTTTCGTTGATTGATTGATTTATGATTGGGAAAACAACTGTCACCTTCATTATAAAGAAACAAAGCCTGAACTTAAATCTTTGTTCACCACTGAAGGCAACAAAAGGTTTCACTGGGAGTTGCTCCCAACAATAATTCTTGTGTTAAGTATTAAGGACTGTAATGTCTTCTAATTCACTGTGGATTTAAATGTGTTTATAAATTCTTTCTTTGTGAGGCATTGCATAGACTGGAAAATACATGTGTGATTCCTAATGAAAATAGATTAAGAATGAAAAACTGTAGCTAATGACACAATTAATGGATTAATTAGAAAATAATTCAAAGGGCTTGGGCAGAGATAATGAGACAGAGTGACTTTAAATTGTAGTGGGAGAGTTTTCACTTTTACAGTGGACTTTGCCAGGGGGATAAGCCATCTGACACTTGAACCTAGAGTGTTTTCAGTTAGAGTAATACCTGCTTTCAACTTATGCTCCATTTTTAAGAAAACAAATCAAAGGATCAAAAGCAAGGGAATATATATTCCTTGAGGTATTATGGTCACTGCAGTCAGCCAAATAAGGACTTCCCTGGTGGTCCAGTAAGACCACAGTAAGACACAGTAAGACTCTGTGCTTCTAATGCAGGGACCCTGGGTTCAATCCCTGGTCAGGGAACTAAATCCTGCATGCCGCAACTGAAGTTCACATGCTGAGACTAAATCCTGTATACCACAATGAAGATCGAAGATCCCGAGTGCTGCAGCTAAGACCTGGCACAGCCAAATAAATAAATATTTTGTTTTAAAAGAGCCATTCAATTAATACTATGCTTTATTGAAATCATAATTTCTTGAACTAAGTGAAATTGTGATGAAACATTGGCTAGATCTAGCCAACACCTTAACTTACTCTTGATCTTAAGCAAATAATCTACAGGAAAGGCTTGAACCTAGGCAATATTTCAGATCTTAGTTTTCAAAATTTAAATTGTGCAGAATAAAAAATTATTTTTTTTATTTTATTATACCTGAGTGTTGGTTG